CTCCGCCATGTTTTTTTTTTTTTTTTTTTTTTTTTTTTTGCCTCTCTCGACATATTAGTTGCATTATTAATTTTGATATTACAGCTCCTTTTGGCTCCAGTAATAAGTTGGCAAACAAAACTATTTTAATGTTTTAAACCGTCAGAAAATAGGAAAACCCCCGGAAAATTCACCTCCGAAAAACCTCTTTAAAATTGCACCGGTAATGGATGATTTTTCTGTAGTGTTTAATTTAGGCCCCCCCTGAATAAAATTTCTGGCTCCGCCACTATATATATAGGGAATATTGCTGAGATTATGTTAAGAAAACACAAGACCTTTAGAAGAATAATACAATAATAATGAGCTCCAAACATGGTGAACAGAAGATGGAGAGAAGTAAGAGGGCATGGGAGAACCAATCATACCAAACACCATTAATTATTATGTGTGGATGATGAACGTAGTCCAGAGACCAATCAGAATGCACCACATCATCCATGTGCTCCATATCGCGGCTCAATACTCCTTGATACCACGGCTCGATACCGCTAATGTGGTGCATTCTAGTTAGTCTCCAGAAGGTGTTCTGCTTCTGGCGATCACACAGAATAAAATTTGTTTTGAGAGCAAATTTGGGGTCATTTTAATATGTTGGTCGGAGACTTTGACTATTAACCAAGAGGTTAAGTCAAAGCTTATATATGTGATATGTGTGATATTTTAATGGCTCAAATATCTAAAAAAATAAAGAGTAATATATCATCTGACACCAACAAAAACTTTATTGTAGCAACATTTTGGGCCATTACATGCACAGTTGCTGGGTTGCATATATGCAATCGTAAAGCTCGTAACAAAAATAATATCATTGTTAGATCTACGGGTTGTGAACGGCTCGAGCCAAACTAAAATCACCCCTAATTTGAGCTTGATTAATTAATTGAACTTGAGTTTTATTTTATGAGTTCAAGCCAGCCGGCTCATTTATTATGAAAGAGAAAAAAATGATTATGATTCAAATAAACATTATAATAAAATGATAAAAAATGAGATTAGAAAAGAATTACTTAATATAAAAGTAAGATATAATTTTATTATTTTCAATAATTGTCCCTAAAATTTTGATTGTTAAAATATTTTACGATTAGTTTATATATTTTTTAATCGAGCAAGTTATTGAGCTAACAAGTCAATCGTGACTGACTCAAGTTTGCATCATTAACTCATCAAGCTTGACTCATAAATCATTTTATGAGTCGAGCCCAAGTTGACTCACTAGACAGCTTGACTCACTTACTCCTACCCGAGCAGAAAAGAAGAATCTTGAAGCATCACCTGCCTGCTTGTCACAAGCAAAATTGGGCAAAGGAGAATAATGCAAAAGCTTGAACTTGAGCAGTTAGAAACATTCCAACAAAAATCTTGAAAAACAGTAGCAAGAAGGCCTTAGAACTGCCAAACCATAAGGGCAGTCAATGAGGTTGAAACTCAACAGTCCTAAAACCATTTATCAATTCAGAAATAACCATCTTCAGTTCTGCACATTCAACGGCCAATAATTTTTGAATTTCCATCTCTTTAGTTTGCAAGCCACCAACGATTTAACCTTTGCATGAGAGAAAAAAGTCTCCCATTTTAGCTATCCAAATAATATGCACTAGAATTGAAAAAATGAATGAACAGTTGTAGCCAATAATGCTGAATGCAGAGACAGTTCAATGAAGAGAAAGAACCATCAGGAAGCAACTCGTTAAGCACAGTAAAGGAAAGGTTGCATTCGAAGAACAGATACAAATGGATTTCTTGAGATGCGTCACAAAGATAACAAACTCCATTCACGTTTAAGCCTTTGGAAATGAGCATATTTGCAGGCTTCAAGCCTTCAGAATGGGCTAACCGGCAATATAAAGAGAACTTCCAAAAGATAGTTTCCACCAACCTATGGTTCATGAAATAAAGATATATTATTGCCATTACCAATATAGAATAAGAGCAGAAGATACCAAAAGCGAGAGCTTTCTTCATAGAGGAGAAACTCTTCTAAGTTGACCAATCCATAAAGACGCATAGTTCCCTAGGCACTAGGAAGAGTAGAAAGATTCAAGGAGAGAATGTGCAACTCCATCAAAGAACAGACAAGTTGTTTTTGTAATAACGCATTTAGGAATGGAAAATGAGCTTAGTAGGAGAAGAGGCTATTAAAAGAGGAATGAATGAATTGTTGAAATTTCATGACAAAGAAAGACATTTGTATTTTTAACTCGCCAACCAACCATTAATTTCATCTAAAGGAGGTAGGCAGTCCATAATTTTGAATTTGATAGTAGAGAGAGGAATCCCCAAATAAGTCCCATATATCAAATAGAGAGATATTTCTCTCCAAAGTTTGAAAGGAAGCCTGCCCATCATTAAAGAACAAAAACATATAGTAGGCGAGAAAAAGGCCACTTGACATTGACCATAAGATCAAAAAGGCCTTTAGCCACCTCATAATATTAAAGAGAGGAAAAAACATCCATGATAATCTTGAATAAAAAAAGGGATAAAAGATAGCCTTGCCTGAGCCCATTGGTGGAGAGAAGGCATCCGTTGATTTCACCATTAAGCACAAATGAGAAGGTAAAATTATTGATACAAGTAGTAATACGATTCACAAACAATTGGAGTATGCATTTTTGCACAAGTCATAAGCCTCTTTATATCCAGTTTGGCATAAAAAGCTTGCACACATACTGAGATTTAAAGTTATTTGTAATTTGGTTGGCGCAAGAAATATTAATCGTGATATCTCTAAACCTTTAATATGTTAGCTAAAAGGAGCTAAAAGATATTGCTGCATGCATCCATCCTAACTTTCATATTTTTTTCTATGCTCAACTTGATTATCAATGATTCCATCATCATATAATTATAATTTTATTAAAAATTAGCTGTATGTATTCATTAAAGTCTCTAATTATATAATACTCCTAAGAAATTTTATTTTAATTAGGTAACATTAACTCTAGAAGTTATAGCGTCATCATAATAGATCTAAGACACTTAAACATATTGTCAATAGATATCACTTAATTTTCTAACAATATTAATTAATAATCAGAAATTTCAAGCTCACTAAAATTATATATCACATATGAATTTTTTCTTCTACTAATTTTAAGTCCCTTATATTTTAAACATATCCTCGATTATTCTAATCTCTGCTTATTTTAGAACAAGACTGCATTATCTATAAATAATATATAACAAAGTACTTTACTATGAATATCTTTTGTATGTATTTTCAAAATTAATACAAAAAGATGTAAATTCGATCCATATCCTCAATGTAATCTAACAGTGGTTGAAAACTTCTGATTAATGCACAATCACTGCCCATGCTTACCAATTCTCCATAGCAAATGCCCTTAATATCATCAACATGCTTTTTACATATTTGTCCTTAATAAGCACCAAATCCTTTATCATGCTGCTCGATCATGTGAAGTTCTACTCATTACTCTTTATACTTTTTCACTAATTTTGATAGCACAAAAAAATGTCTTGATAATGGGTTTTCTTTAAATAAATCCAAATTGATTCTACAGTATCATGGTTTTTCAAGCCTAATGTTCCATTTTCCTCTCCAAAAACTTCACTACATAATTCATAAATTTGATTCCCCTATAGTTACCACATCTTTGAACATCACGTTCATTCTTAATATTGGTACAAAAATATTTTGTTCCAATTATTCGATATTATGTATGTCTTAGATTCCAATGTAAAATCTTGTTAGCCATCATAAAATCGTCATTAACTCTCGATTTTTGAAAAGTTATCTTATTTGAATTAAATCTCTAACATTATGCATTTTCTTTAAAGCAACTTCAACTTCACTTTATTGGATCAATCTATAATATTATGTTTAGTATGCTCGTCCCAAATGATTCCATCCTTAAAACTATTATATGATAAATTCTTAAATAACATTTCAAACATTATATGATTTCTTTATATATAACAAAGATTACATTATCTGAACTTGTAGTAAGTCAACTTGATCAAGATCTTTAGATGTTCTATCTTTAGGGGCTGTTCGGTATCGGATTTGCTCTGGGATTTAAGCGGGATTTAAGGTAAATCCAGCCAAACAATTTTTGGAGGTCATCTAAATCTGACGCCTGCATAAATCTGGAATTTACAGATTTACGGTGTAAATCCATATAAATCTAAATCCCATCGGGAGGCGGATTTAATAGGATCACGAAAGAAAGAAAGATGGCTACCTTAGTAACGAGCAAGAGCAAGCTCTCGTCGTTGTCGTTACTTCCGATCAAACAAAGAATGACAAGGAGGTGTGGTCTCAGATCCAACAGGAAAGAACGTCATCGAAGGAAGAAATTATTAAGCAAATCGTTCAAAACTACATCTCACACGAAGTAGGTTAAATCGAATGGCAACGAACAGCCGGAAAAGAGGAAAAGAAAACCTACGACTAAAGAAGGCAGTAACGAACTTGCCAAAGAAGATACGCAGAAATTAATTTAGTTTAATTAGGTTAATTAAAATTAATTAGGAATATAATATAATTAATAAATAATTAAATACTTAAATTAATTGATAATTAATTTAAATTCTAATTATCTTTTTTATAATAATTAGTTAGTAATGATAATTAATAATTAATAATTATTTAATAAATAATTAAAAGTATAATCAATATTAAAATTATATAGCAATTTCATAATTAAATTATTTTTATAATTATAATTTATTGACATTAATTAAAATTATAATTAATAAATAATTTGTATTTAAAATACTAATAAATTTAAATTTTTAATAAACTAATAATCTTAAATCCTAGATTACATTGTAGTCTATCGATGTCAATTATATATATATATATATATATCCATTTTTCCTTCTTTATTCTCAACCTATTATATCAACTTAATTCTTTAACTTCAAACATCGTGATTAAAATGTTGTCTAAAGTAAAATTTAAAATTAGACAAGTCCATAGCACATAGAGAAGAAAACAAACTTACCAAACTCTTGACTTCAACTTCAAGGAAATAAAATTTATCTCAGACAAAAAAAAAAGGATTTTACAACCACAGATTGGTTTCCATTGCTGAAAGTTTAAAATGATATCAAATAGAAGGCCGTACCTGCTTATCTAGGGAACCTGGTCGGCTTCAAATTTATAGTTCAGAGGCACAACCTTCCTGCATTGGTATTGGCAGCATATATGAAGCAATCTACGGCAATTTTCATCAGTACTTCGTCTAATACAAGTAAAGCATCAATTTCTGTTTTCAACTTTCTTGCTCTTATATAATCTTCCATAGAATCTCGAAAGCATAAGTTTCATCAAGTAAATCTATAGCAAGGACTGGCAGCTAATTTTTCCACTTGATTATGAAAACCACTTTTCTTCTGTCTTTCTCCTCCTAAATCCAAGTATCTTGATAGTCTAGCATCAGATTGGATAATGAAGGCATTAGAAACAAGTTTATGAGCCACCAACATGCATGCAGCATATAAACTTTACACACGGGAAAGATTCCCAACAATTAAAGCTGGGCCTTCTCAATCATATTTGACACTCAGCAGCCCTGCTTCCTTCGATAGAATTATAGCTCACCTCATCAAAGGGTATTCCACTCTTCCTCATCTCTTCCTGCAGAGCAAGGACCTTAGAATGATTTCCAATTCCAGCATAACCAGATATCATAATACTATACAGATGCCTGTCAGGATCAATCTTATTCTGTAATATGTCCTTATATAGATTATCAACATCCTGTATTCTTCCATCCGTACACATTTTACTTATCAAAATATAATAACTAGCCAAATTAGGTTTGATTCCATTTTTTTCCATCTCTTTGTATAATTCAATAGCTTTCTGAATGTCGTTGGAATTGCAATATGCAGCCATCAATGTGTTGTATGTGATGACATCAAGGCTCGGACCATCACTTCTTAGCGTGCCGGTCAACTCTTCAGCACTAGACAAGCGCCCTTTTCCACAGAGACCTTTAATAAGAGAATTATAAGTTACAATGCTTGGACAAACACCAACCCTCTTCATGTCGAGAATTAACTTGTTGGCCTTCTTAAAATTGCCATTGGTACTGTATGCATCAATAAGCATGTTGTATATCTTTTCATTGATTTTGATACCTCTGATCAAAATATCTTCAAAGAGTGCTTCTGCCTCGTAGAGCTTTCCACTCTTGCAAAACCCATTTATTACAGACCCATAAGAAACAATATTAGGTTTGAGACTCAATTTTTCTTCCATCTCCTCAATAATCTCAAAACATCTTGTGAATTGTCCACTTCGAGAATATGCATCAATTAAAGTGTTCATTGTCTCTATCGTGGGAGCCTCTCCCTTCTCTTTCATCGTCTTCAATAAATGTTCTGCATCCGCCATCCTCTGCAACTTGCACATTCCATTTATCAGTGAGTTGTAAGTTATGTGGTTAACTTTCAATCCCAAAGATTCCATCCTCCTTAATGCTGAGAAGGCACCTTCCATGTCCCCTATCCTGCAGTAGCCATCTATAATAGAATTGTATATTACAGTAGTTGGAACCAATCCCATGTTCACCATTCTTCTTAGGACCTCCTCTGCTTTTAAGACACTCCCATCCTTGCAAAGTCCACTGAGCAAAACACCACAGGGATGTGGCTCAAGTTGTACTCCTTTTCTGACACACTCTTCAAAAAGATCAATGGAACTTTTTTTCTTTCCAGAGCTCAAATACCCTGTAAAAAGAGTGCTGTAAGTGAATCCATCGGGTGTTAGGCCTTTCATCTTCATCTCCTCCAACAAATCCTCAGTCTCATCCATCCTACCTGCATGACAAAGTCCCCAAAGCAGAGAATTGAATGTAGTAAGATTTGGCTCGACAAGACCAGTAATCATTTGGTCTCGAACCCTAAAAGCAGCATCTAAATCCCCAACCTTGCAATACCCATCGATCATTGTATTGTAGGTAACAAGTTTCGGTGCTACCTTTCTCTTCAGCAGATCATCGAACAGCTTTTTAGCATCTTCTGTCCGGCTCTCCTTCCACATCCCAGAAATCAAAACATTGAAAGTGAAAGCATTTGGATGAATCCCATCATTCTTCTCCATCTGGTTCATCAATTGCAGCGCTCCATATACGTCTCCCAACTTAACAGTGGCTTCAATTGCCTTATTGTAGGTGAAAATGTCGGGTCGAACGCCGGCAGCAAGGATTTGCGAGAAGAATGATAGCACATTCGAGTAGCGACGGTCGGAAACTAAAGTTTCCAGGAGCTGTTTGCATGAGAAGATAGAAGGGAAGTGATCGGGCCGAACGGTAGATAACATAGATATAAGGCGAAGGCCTTCATCACCAAGGCGCAGTTGCGCACAAGCTGAAACAACCAGGGAAGCAGCTTGGGAGGAGACAGGAGGGAAGTACGCGGAGAGTGATTGATATAGATGGATGGGAGAAGGGAAGAGATCCCGGCGGGAAGCAATTAGGGTTTTGGCCAGCGTTAGGGCTGCCTCCGTCCATCCGTACCGGAGATGATTCGTTAAGTGCCTCAAGTGGGACTCTGCGGGGTTGGCGCCGTCGGTGGTGGGAACGGTGCCGGTGGCAGTAGCACTTGGAAGCGTACAGAAGAAACGGTTGATAGCAGGAGGTGCAAAGATGACCCTTTGAAGGGGAATTTTGAGAGATTTGGTCATTCTCTTCAATCGTTGAGCATCAGGAGCAAGTTCCGACTGGATTCTTCTCTCCGAAATTGTAAGGAAAAAAAAAACAGCAAGTATATCATCCAGCGAGTCGAGTCTTTTTTAAGTTGATTTGAGCTCCATTTGATAAATAACTCATAAATTAAGCTCGTAATGAGTCAATTTTGATTCTACTCGCTAGCTTGCGAGTTGGCAAATCAGCAAATTTATTATTGTAATCAAGTACAATTTTGGAGAAGATAGACCCGATGAGAGTGTTTAGGGTTCTTTGCAAATCCTAATCGGTTCTTTGTTCGAGTGACTCTTCTTCCTAGGTCCTCGTGATTTTAGGATTTTTCTGTTAATCGAGAGACTTTGGGTTCCTTCTCTCTTGCTCTTTTATGGATTCTTCCGCTGATTTTGAATCCAAGTTCTGTTTCTTGGATATCCTCGTCAGGCATAAAAGCTTGGAATGGGCTATTGTCGTCTCATCAATCTTCCACTCAAACCTTTTTATGTTTCTTTTTTGTCATCTACTGATAATCTTGCTATTTTTTTATGAAGGTGACGTTTCCGTTGCTTCTAAAATATTGGATTTAATGCTGGTAAGTTACTCGTTGGGTAAGTGGCCTTTGAAGCCCTAAGCCCTAAAATTTTTCATGCTTAAAATCTAGAAGTTGAAAGGTAGCTTTACTCTTCTTGTTTTAAACGAAGAGTTTTTTATGATGAAATTTTCTTGTCCAGAATATTACAATTTAGTTTGGTCAAGTGGACTATGATTTGTTTTCGGAAAACTGTTAATTATTCAGAAATGGTCATCACTTTTTGGACTAAACGTGAAGATTTTACTTCTATTCCTATTTAGATCAAATTTCTTGATCTTCCTTTAGTTTCTTGGACGCCGGAAGGTATTTACAAAATAGCAAGTCTGATGGGGATTCCTATTGTTGTGGATTCTCTAGCAGCTGAGCAAGCTCAGCTTATTTTTGCTCGGGTTTGTGTGTTAGTTTTTAAAGATTCTTACCTACCATATAAAGTTAATATTTCAATTGTTGGTAACATTTTTTTATTAAAATTTATTTATGATTGGAAGCTCACTCCCTATCAAGGTTGTGGATCTATCGTTCATCCCTCTTCGTTGTGTCCTTCTAAGACGCAAGTTTCTATTGTAAAACCAAAGCCTAGGAGGGGAAGAAGCAAAAGCAAAAAGGTTTGGAAGGAGGCTCCGCATTCTGTAAGAACTTCTTCTTCTTCTAAATATCCTGCTCCTCAGAATTTATCTGATCATAATCAAACTCTGAAGTCAAATCCTCAATTAGCTACTACTAACCACATTCTCTTTAAAACTGCTTCAAGAATTTCTCATTCATCTTGGGTTGTTAATGGCGCTCAAGATAATTTGCTTTTAGATCCCAATAATTTGAGGGATGCAGGTGTTTCTGGTGAATTTAATTCTGAAAATTTTGGCTGCCCCTTCTTCTATAAAGGCTTTGCCTAATTTAAATTCTTCTACTAATGTGATAGCTTCTGATCTTAATTTAAATAATGCATCTATTATTTCTAATTCTCTTTTGAATTAGAATTTTTCTGATTCGCATAATAAGCTTCAGGTTTTGGTTTCTCTCAATGGTGATCAATTAGGATTTAAAGAAGGTTATTAATATTAATTATCTTCTTAAAGATAATCTGTCTTATTCATCTTCTCGGATTGTTTAAAGGGCTAAATTGAAATGGATGTCTTGTGGAGAAGTCGATTTAGGCTTTCTTTATTCTAAAATAAGGTGCATGCAAAATTCTGATAAAGTTCATGGTATTTCTTCTTCTCAAGTTATGGTCACGGATCCTAATAGCATTGCTCGAATCTTTGAGAATCATTTTAAGTATGTTTTTAATTCTCTTAATTACTCCGGTTATTGCTTCTTCTTACAATATTTTTGCTGGTAATGTTATCCCTGATTTTATTAACCTCTCTGGTTTTTTCGGTCTATGTTGATAAGATCAAAAAAATTGTTTTTAACAATCCTAATTCTTCGTTCCGGGTCCAAATGGTTTTATGTTTGATTTTTTTAAGAATACTTGGGAGAATGTCGATTCTTTTCTATGTAAAGTTTTTCTTTTTTATTTTAATTTTAGATTTATGCCTAGGGTTGCTAAAGCTATTGCTATTTCTCTCATTCTCAAAATTAAAAATGCTTCTAATGTTTTGGATTTCAAACCTATTTCTTTATGCAATATTTTTTATAAGATTGTGGCAAAGATTTTAGTAAAGAAGTTGTAGGGAGTTATGCCTTTTATTATTCATAAAAGCCAAGTTAGTTTTATCAAAAATAGGATTTCTACATATAATATCATTATTGCTGCTGAACTTCTTAGAGATTTCAATTCTTCCTCTTGAGATAAGTTTTTTTGTGCCAAATTAGATATTCATAAAGCTTTTGATATTGTTTCCATTTTTTTATTGCTAGAATGGTATAGAAAGGTTTCCCACATATATTCATCTCTTGGATTAAAGGTTACATTGATGATGTTTATTTTTCTATTATTCTTAATGGTTCTCTTCATGGTTTTTTTAGCTCCTCTTCGGGTCTTTAGCAAGGTTATCCTCTTTCTCTCAATCTTTTTTGTATTGTTATGGATGCTCTCTCTAGTCTTCTAGATGATAATTTTGAGGGAATAAAGGTTGGTGATGATTTTCTTTCTCATCTTTTATATACGGATGATCTTCTCATATTTGGACAACTCTCTATTGAGAATGCTAGTAAGCTTAATGATATTTTGGTTTATTTCTCTTATGCTTCTTATTTGTTCATTAATACTACTAAGAGTTCTCTTATTCTTTTAAAAGATTGTCATTTAGAGAATGCTATTAGTCAAACTCTTGGCATAAGTGTTTCTTTGTATCCTTTAAAATATTTGGGCTTGCCTCTCTTTGGTAAAATGTTTAAATTTTCAGATTTTTAGCATTTACTTAGTCGTATTGCATTGCTTTTGGCAGGTTGGAAAGCTAAATTGCTTTCATTTGCTAGAAGGGTCCAATTCATTAATTTTACTATTACTAGTGTTATTTCCTGTTGTATCAGGGGTATTTCTCTTTCTAAACTGTGCTTTAATTTTATTTGAAAGGTTTGTTCTAATTTTCTTTTTCATGGAGATTCTTCTAGTAGGAAGATTCATATCATTACTTTGAAAGGTGTTTGCAAGCCTAGAGATGTTGGGGTCTTGGTATTTCTGATCTACAAGCTCTTAATTTTTGCTTATAAGTTTTCTCTTATTTGGAAAATTATTAATGGTTTTGGTCCTTTGGCTATTTGGATAAAGTTCAAGTATGTCTCTTTTTGAAATCCTTGGTCTCATCTTGTTTCAATTTTTTGGAAAAAAAACATCACTTCTATTTTTAGAGATATTAAAAGCAATGTTACTTTTAATATTTTTCCTAATAGTTCACTTTCTCTCTATTGGGATCCTTCGTGTATGAGGAAATCTATCCATGAGATTATTATGTTAGATAGAATTAATTTGGATAAATCTTTACTTACTTGCAAGTTGGGGAATTGGATTTCTTATAATTGCTGGAATTTACTTATTTCTATGTCTCCAGTTATTAGTTCTACAGTTTCTTATATTACAATTTCTGATAAGCAGGCTTCAAATATTTCTTGGAATGGAGTTCTTCCTTCTTTCAAAACGTTTCATAAAGCTTTTATTATAACAACATTAAAGTGGATTGGTGTCCTTTTATTTGTCATAAAGGATATGCATTGAGATTCTCTTGTCATGCTTGAATGGCTATTTTGAAGGGGCTTAAAACGATTGATATACTTCATAAGAGAAATATAAATGTTTCTACTTATTGTATCCTTTGTTTAAGTGTTGAAGAAAGTCATAATTATTTATTTTTTGGATGTGATTTTTCCTTCAGTCTTATTTCTAACTTTATGCTTGATATCAATTATTTTATGCTTAGACCTAATTTGGTGCAATTAATGGATTATATTTATAACCTTCATTTAGTTTCAAAAGTGATTTTTTTTTTTTTTGCTTTTTGTTTGTTGTTCTTTTTATTTCATTTGGAAAGAAAGGAATTCTAGGAGATTTGAGAATAAATTCTCTAATTCTGATTTTGTGAGCTGTTCCATCAATAAAACTTTGTTAGCTAAGATTTCTTATTTTGAAATCCTTTCACAACATTAAAGGATTTCTACCAAGATAGAGTGTTTTAGAGTTCTTTTTTTTTTTTTTTTTGCTATGATGATTGGGGCTTCGGTCTTTTCTTGGATGGTTGAATTTTGCAACCAATGATTGATTATATTTGTTCGTGTGAGGTGCTTTTCAAGAAGGTTCTTTATCCCTTCGTGAGCCCGATGGAGGAGGTTTGTTGGATCTTTTCTTTATTTTGGTCTCTTGTTCCTTTTTTTTTTTTCATTTTTGTTTATGTTTAGGATTGGTGGCATTTCTATTTTTCTGTATTTTTCCTTTTTTGTTGGTTCGACGGTTGGAGATTTGACTAGTTTGCTAGCGGCTGTTGTTGGCTGTTAGTTGGTTCCGGTGGTTTGGTGTGTGGCGTTTATTGGCTCAGTTTTGATTTCTTGATTTGCTGGTTGTTGGTTTTGGCCTTGTTGGTTGGATTAAGGAGGCTTGAGGTGTTCCTGGTTCTCAGTTGTCTCTAATTGTTAGCTATTTATGGCTTAGTTTGGTTTCTTGATTTGTTGGTTGCTGGTGTCGGACCTGTTGGTTGGATTACAGAGGCATGAGGTGTTCATGGTTCTCGGTTGTCTCTTATTGTTGGTTGTTATTGTTAGCTCTGTATGTAGTGTTTTTTCTCTTCATTGCGAGCTGTTTGAACAGTTTTAGAATCTAGGTGAGGATGTATTTGTGGTTGGCTATTCAAAGTTTGCTGGAATTTTTCCATTCTTCAACTCCATTTTCATACTGAATTTTCTTTTCTTTTTGCGGGATCTTTTTTGAACTTTGCTTTTGTATTTTGTATACTCATGTTCTAAGGAGTTTCTTTTCCTTTTCTTTAGGATTGTTCTAGTTTTTCCTTATTTGATTTTGTAAGTTTTTTCGATTTCAGAGTTTATAGGTTAATTCTAATATATTTTAT